AAGATCCCAAGACTCAAGGAGTGTTTGGTGTTATTTGGCTTTTAATATATTAGTTGCTTCTGCTATGCATTTCATGTGCACTCCCATACCTTCCCCAAGAATTTCTAACGGTATGGACTGATCATTCCTTAGACATATAAATTTAAGATATTTTCATACAGTCACATAGGCAAGGTTTTCTGCCCCGCAGCTCTTTCCTTCTTTTTCAACAGTTGAATTAGATGTCTACCTTCTGTAGTTATCTCTTTTAGCAAGCATCCAAAGTGAGGACCAGCTCCAGACAAAGTATCTAAGGACAACTGGCAGGCTGGTCAGACTACCCACTAGGCTCAAGAGGCCCCTGAATTAAGGTAAACACCCTTATGGAGACACTGTGTAGGACAGGTGGATGTTAGAAACAAAGCTTTGCTTCTTGTGCAAAGTAAGCTCAGACCTCCCTTTCTCTCACTACCCAGGTGGCACCCTAGGGCAACTTACTTAGAACAAAAGGGTTCTCTTCATATCAGGTGCTTCAAGCTGTGACACCAGTTACCTAGCTATCAAGTACTGTTCCCCTGCCCTGCCAGAAAGTGGAGATATAAGAAAATGGAGGCAGTTTTATTTTAGTGACCCATAGACTCTCTTACCTAAACACATGTGAGATTGTAGTTTGAACACATTCATGATAAACTGATAACATCTCACATAAACACTTATAAGTATATATTTTTGGTACATAAATTCCCTTTCTGATTTATTCCAGCCCTTACATGAATCCACCTCCTTTATTCACTCCCTTTTTCAGTTGCAAATGAAGCTGAGTACCACTGCTCTTGTGGGGACCTTGAGAGCTCTTGCATTGTATTGTAAAAGAGTGACTGCTGGTGAGGTTGCAGACTAGTTCCCAGAGAGGACTAGCTGAATTTTGTTGCAGAGGAATAAAATGGATGGACAAAAGAGCTCAGAGTACTAAGATTCTTTTCCCTCAAATTATTCTTGCCATTGGTAGCATCTCTTCTGGAGAACCTGTGAAGGAAACTACTAGAGAATGGTCCCCTAATAGTTTCCATTATTAAGCATTTAATGTTTCTTATATTCTCTTCTATTAAGCATTTTAACATTAATATTGTTAAAGAGTATTGACAAAACAGCACACATTTGGATTACATCATTTAACCTAGGTCTTGTACTCAGGAAGTGAACACCTGAGGATCATGAGTTTGAGTGTATCTTTGACTAATTACTACTATCCAAGCAAGGCTAGATAACAAACAACAATTCAAGGAATTTATGAAAAATAAAACCAGTAATAAAAACCCACCACCCTTTCACAGACACAATGACTTGAAAATATGATTACATAGTGCCTAATATTTATATAAAATTGTACCACTTAGATGATGGCCACACAAATCTATACATTAGCAGAAAAATACCTATCACTAAGTAAAAGCACAATAGAAGATGAACAAAAGCCACAGAAGAAATATAAGTACCACAAAATAAACTTAATTAAATGAGTTTTCCACACTTTAGTATCTACCTCAAATGTTACAATATACAAACCACAATACAGTGATCTCCAACATCAGTCTTCAGTGAACATGGTGAACAATTTACTTCCTTCAATGCTATGATGGAAAATAAATGAAATGTGATGTTTTCTTTGAAGCTGAAGACAACTATGATGTCTAAAGTCTTTACCAAATCATTTACATGAATAGAGTTTTTCTCTTGTATGAGATTGCCCCCATTTCTTGTCTTCAAAATGATATAAATAGGCTTTAAAATATTTACAGCACTAGTGACATGGATGGGCAGTTAAGAAATGTTCATTCCCAGCCAGGTGGTGGTGGCTCTCACCTTTAATCTCAACACTCAGAAAGCAGAGCCAGGCACATCACTGTGAGTTTGAGGCCAGCCTGCTCTATAGAGGAAGATCCAGAATAGGCATTAAAACTACAGAGAGAAGCCCTGTCTTGAAAAACCAAGAAAGAGAGAGAGAGAGAGAGAGAGAGAGAGAGAGAGAGAGAGAGAGAGAGAG